CTAGCAGCCTCGCACCAAGGACCTATCCATGTCATCATTTACCCAGAATGCTTTGTGTGTAAATAAAATGGCCTCGTCCGTGTATTTTTAAACTTTTAGTTAAAAATTTATACAAACTAAACAGCCTACAGTATTTTTACAGTCTTTATTTTACAGTTAAATTATATGTTTATCAAATAAAGTCTGTTACAACTAACAATGAATCCCTTTAAAAATAAAACAAAAAACTATCCAGATGCCGTACTTCCCAGATTGAATTTAACTGTGGTTGGATGAGAAGTATAAATATCTATAAATATCTGAGACCCTTTTGGTTTGAACATGGTTCCTCACATCTTCACTTGATAAAAAATCACTTCACACAGCAGCAGGACATGGCAGACATAAAGCCTGTATGAAGATGACAGAGATACGTACATTGCCTTCAGTTGACACCAATAAAAAGGTCACACACTCACTCTAATATTTTGCTGGACCACCTTTAGCTTTGATTACAGCACACATTCAATGAGGCGTTGTTTCAATAAGCTTCTGCAAAGTCACAAAATTGTTTTCCATCCGGTGTTGCATTAATTTCTCACCAAGATCTTACATTGATGATGGTAGAGTCAGATCTTCTCCAGCACATCCCTGAGATACTCAATGGACTCTGTGGAGCCAATCCATGTGTGAAGATGTCTCATGCTCCCTGAACCACTCTTTCATAATAAGAGCCCCATGAATCCTGACATTGTCATCTTGGAATATGGTCATGCCGTCAGGGCTCAATACTTTTAATACTCAAGTCTGTTTTAAATCAGAACTTTACATTTGATACTTAAGTACAGTAAAGACTTTTACTTCTTAGAGACTTTAACTTTTACCAAAGTAATTTTATGGTAAGATACTAGTAAAGACATCCAGTCTAACTAGTTGTAATGTATTGACTTCAAAACAGAAAACTACCCACAATCTACCAGGAATCACTGCGGTGGTGTCTCACTGAGCTGGTGGAAAAAGAAATCCCTCAACATTCTGAAAAACACAGAGTTTCAGCAACAATCTTATTGAATTCTTGTGATCAAGTAACCATCCCGCCGTGTGGCACGACTTGGGTGTTTTTAAAGTCCTGGCCTACTTTAACATCAGACTCAGCTGCTGCTACCACACTTATGATCTAATCTACTGCAGTGCACTTTATAAATGAAGTGGCAGTTCATCAGTAATCATCAGTGCATGACATCAAATACCTGTGTAATAGAACTAACACCTTATGTTTAAGGCTGTAATAAACATGTATGAGTTTTTGGAAAGATAACACAGATAAGATATTTCAAAACATGGTTTTATGTCACTGAGATGAACAGTTGTTGAGATATTTGCATGTGAAGCAACAGGAAATGATGTCTGCATGTACATAAAGTGTTGCAACAATGGTCAACAACACAGAGTGTGGAGAAGAATCTGATCTTTCTTTGGATTATTTTGAGTCACTGTCAGAGAGAGATGAATAAGAGTCAGAGTTCAAATAATACAGTAATATTTTAGTAAGCAATGACCAGAATTTTCTTTCTTAAAGAGTTCCTCTTTGATGTCACTTCCTGTTTCACCTTGGCCGAGCCAAGTTCAAAAGAAAATACGCCAGTTATGTGACTATATTTGTAAAATTGTGTGAATTATAACAGCTTTCTTAAATATAAAGATGTTTTATTTGACTTTTTATATTTGAAAAATCTGAATGTTACAAAGACTTTAAAGAAATGCAACTTTACTCTAAAGCCTGTAGTGGTAATTTGAGACTTTTATTTTGTAGGATATGCACATTTTGCTGCATAAACTGTAGAAGAAGTGTAAAGAAGACAAAGATTCATGATATAGTTAAAGTTACTGCCAGTGGTTCGTTGGGGTAAACATGTTAACTATCTGTCTTCTCCTTAGGCTATGACAGGGAGACAGAAARGCAGATTTGAAAGTAAGTCTCAGATAAAAAAGTCACTGAGCAAAAACTGTAAGTTATACTGAAACAAATCCTGGACTGTAGGCAGCAGGAGAGTCTGATCATAAAACTTATTAATTTTTATGCATCACAGGTTAAAAAGAAGAAAAACTTCCAGCTACTGACGGAAAAACCCAACACTCAAATACAATGAAACAGTATATAATCTGTTTGTCCCTATTCCCACAGAGTTAATCAGTTCTAAAACAGATAATAAAAATATAAATACATCACTCTCGTTTATGTTCTCTGATCAGATGGAGTCAGCATTCAGATCATGAGGGCCGTGTGTGTGATTTCAAACAAAGCTGCCCTTCATGTCCCAGGCCCCGCTCAGCAGAGGCCAGGAAAGGCCCGGCTCCACAAACAAAGAGCCCAAACAGAACACACACACAAACACAACAGTATACAAAGTGAGGGGGCAATATCAGCGCCGGCGGCACACGCTTTACGTCCAAAACCAGCTCTGGGGTCGAAGCAGAAACACTTCATGACTCATTTAACTTTGAGCGCAGAGCGGACAACACACACCGGTTTGGCTCACACCATTATGCAAATTGTGTTCTGTACAAAGACATTTGGACCACGTGTGTACAGCTTCATGGCATCATTCTGTTATTA